GATGAGCGAGGACCATGAGTCCGGAAGTAAGGCCAGCAGCTTGGTCTTCTTTTGAAGGTCACTGTAGTTCAGGTCAGCTCCTTCTAGCCGTGTCAACAAGTTGAAGAATTTCTGCACTCCTTCCTCCACCGGTTCGCCTTCGTCAATTCGAAGTGCCGGCATTTGCCGCTCCAAAACCACAGCCACCGCCACTGTTGCAGGAGCGTGTACACCCTTGAGAGCAGCCCATGCCTTTGGTCCCTTTGCTGGTTCACGCTGAAAAGGCTTGATGTGACGGATTTGGCTGCTCCCCAACGCTTGCCCAAGTAGAAGGTAGCCTTGTGCGCTCTTCCGCACCCACGGGCTCTTCTCCGGGTCGTTCTCGGGGCGCTTCTCCGTTCCTTCCATCACCTCTAGCAAATCATAGTGGTCAAAGATGTTCTCCATCTTGAAGGACCACTCAGCAAAGTTGTCACCATTGAACTTGTCAAGGCCAAACACTCTAGGCTCATCCCTAGAGGGTCCAAGGCTAGGTTGCACCAGAGCAACGGGTGGATGTTGGTGTTAACCTTGTGCTTGGGCGTCTTCTCTGCCTCCAGCACCTCTGCCACCCCCTTCCTCAGGTCTAGGCATGGTTGAGACCGCTCCAAGGGGCTCTGATACCACTTGTTATAGTCACAATAGGCTCAGATGTGCCTATAATGAGAGATAGAGAGCACAGTCGGATTTCCGTCAGAAGGCTACAAATATTGATAAAGATCTGCTCGCTGGCTTAAATGGTGATCTGTAAATTAGATCTGGAGGGCTTTGCTGTCCTCTATCAGCAGCAAGTTGAATCATTAACTTCCATAAACATTCGACGACGCTATGGCGGTTTGACTGGCAGGAGGTACAGCGGCCACTATCGTCTTAGGAGTACAAAAAAAACTCTAGGAAGAAGAATTCGAGAGGGACATGGTTCCCAGTCTCTACATACCCCAAGAGCCGAGGTTCAGGTTGGTGGTACACCACCACAGAGTCCCCAACCACGAAGAGTCTCGAAACCAACCCTCCAAGAGGCTACACCAAGTGAAATGTAACACTAGACGAAGTAGCGTTACTATTTCCACTATTTAATATTTATCCGCATCCCTTGGGCTTGAAGCCTTGAGCTCTTTGTCTTGGTTCTGCAAGATAAATTCTTCTTGTGTTGATGGGGGCTTGCTGCACACACCTGCGATGCGATGGACCCTTCACACTCGACAAAATAGAAATAACACATGCGACACTCAAACGACGACTTGACATGCGAGTTGTAAAAACTCGCTAATGTCTTGACCGACACAAGCCACATTGTGATACACCATTCAAACACACACACAAGCACTAGATAGCAATGACATAGACTCACAATTCATTCCATGCCATGCATGCACACACACAAACAAGGACGACAAGCCGAGTGCAAGCCATAGGGTTGCACCAACAGTGCATGACACACTCGTTTACTCAGTGTTGCAGATGGCCTGTAAGGCCAAGTACATCACCAACCTTCAGTCCACGCTCTTTTCCCTACTGGCCAAGCGGAAGTGAGCCGACCTGGCCATTCAGGACCCTGAATCAGGAGCAACCTGGGTCACAGATGTGGCACTCACCGACCCGGTACTGCTTTGCCGGGACCTGCAAGCATGAAAGCCGCTGGGGTGGGCAGCCCGTGAAGCAGGAAAGCGGAAGGAGCGGGAATACCGACCCCGGGTCGTGTACGTGGGGTTTTTGGAGTTGGCAGCAGAGACATATGGGGCGCTTGCCCCATCTACTGCCGACTTCCTACACATGCTGGCTGAGCATGGGGCAAAGGTCCAGTTCAGAGTAACCCCCAACTCCAAGACCGCTGGCAAACTGACCACAAACTACAGGCAGTGTTGGGCGATCATGCAGTAGAGATGTTAAGCAAATGCACTCGTAGCCAAGGCCAATCCAGCCATAGAAACCACATATGCCCATATTACCTTTGACCCCTGTGCCCTCTCCTTGGATGACCTCTGCCGAGTCCTAAAAGGTAATCTGCACGAGTAGGTGGGGGCGGGTTGAGCCAAAGGCCCCAGGATGCCCTTTGTTGGCAGTACGTTTTCTTGTGCCCTGCTCTTGCCATGTACCCCCTTATATGCCTGTAATAAAGGACTGCTTGAACGGTTACTGTTGCTAGGACTTTGGGGTAGGATGGTTTCTCTTTTTATGAGCTATGTTTGGTGTTTGTGTTAGAATGACTAAGTCATTGCAGGCAAGATGCATTTTCTTAGCGCCCTGATTTATGAGAGTGCTTGGGTGTAGGCACGCTGATGAGGATGTCGGATAGGAATCAGCACCATCCAGGTGTACGCCCTTGCACAGACATCGCCAGTTTTGCACTATGTACAGTACGACAAAAAATTGATTCTACCCTTATGTGGAAAACCATTTTTTGTATGGACCCTTATACGTCAACCTACCAAAATATTCATGCCTTACAGGAAAGAGTGCTTGGAGGGGGAAGAAGGGGGGGGGGGGGGGGGGGGGGTTGATGCGGATGAGTACTTCAAATTCTATCCAGTGGCCTGCCCCTCTGCCTCGGTAAGGCACGAGGCATGTGCTGGGCGTGCTTTCTCGAATGCTTATGGTTGATGATAGGAGGCATGTGCCTATAGGCATGCACCTATAGGCATGCAATAGAAAGGTTGGGTAATATAGGCATGGTTGTTTGTGTAGTGTTATATACGTCTCATGATATGATAATCTCCGGATAGGAGTCGAGTAATGCAATAGAGAGGTGGTGATTGAAGTGTGTCAAGTACAAATGAAGCACATGGCTACATACAAGCACAACTAGAATAGCAAGGGAGCCTCGAGGAGGGCCACGAAACACGCGCGAGGTGGTTTGGGCGCCTCGGGGCTCGGAATTGTCGGACGCGATGCCGTGTGTAGGCTTGGAGGTCGCGAATGTAATTCGGGGCCTAGGTTGTCGGACTGAGCCTAGACTACCGAAATTCAGGGCTGTACTTGATGTAAGCAAGGCTTGCTCCTTACACCTTCCCCCCTCCTAGACGAGACTACCCACATCTGGGGCAGCCCGATTGTGTAAATAGGCCTGCACTAATGGGTGGTTGTCGAGGGTAGCTTCCCATTGAGCTCGATCGGTATAGGTTGTCCGTATCAACTGCTACATCGTCTGATTTGTTCGTTTAGTCTTAGCATCGATCTATGGGTGGTAGGTCGTGGACAGTTGTAGACGTGTACCGTACTCCTATGCCGACGTCAAGGTCTACCAGAGTCTCATCAGCAGCCTGATGTTTGCTGCTATGACCACTCATCCTGACCTCTCCTTCACTATCAACACACTTGCACAGTCATGCATCGCACCTAGGTGCATTCACTTGCTTGCTGCCTTGAGAGCACTAAGGTATTTGGTCGACACTGCCACCAAGGTGATCCGGTATGAGCGACAGGGTGGTGAGCAAGTTATTGGGTACAGTGACTCAGATTGGGCACGTGAAGCCGACAGAAAGCGTCATGCGGCCTATCTCTTCAAGCTAGGTGGGGGGCAGACCCTCAGACTCGTTTTAGGCCACGTTGATTGATCAGTGTCGATCTCAAAAAACACCCTGAAAATCCGTTTTTGGTAGTGGTTTTCTTACTGGTTGGCCCTGGTTCTTTCGTTTTCAATGATGATTCATCAGGGTCGGTACAAGAGAACACCCTGAAAAAAAAAATGAAAAAAAAATCAGCATAAAAAGCTGGATAACTATGGGCCTGGTGGGGGGGCTATTGGTTGGCTAGAAGCAGGACAGTGTGGCCTGCAGCAGCACTGAGGCTGAGTACAAGGCACTTTCCAAGGGGGCCAAGGAGGCCATATGGTTGAGGAGCTTGCTGGCTGAGATGCGTGTGGGTGATGGGGGGGCAATTCCATTGCTATGTGATAATGAGTCAGCCGTTTCCCTTGCCCATAATCTCGTACTCCACCAGCACACGAAGCATATTAAGGTGGCTTGGCACTTTGTTCGAGATGCAGTGCGTCAGCAGGAGGTTGAAGTGCATTTAGTGCGCTCTCACTTTCAAGATGCCGACATGCTCACCAAAGCCCTTCCAGGCTTGAAGCTGAAGTGGCCAAGGCATCCTTTGCAGGAGGACTTATCTTTTGACTGGAGACTGGAATTGATGCTTATTGGAGCAAGGGGGGGTGTTGGAATTATGGGAATATCTAGGTTGCTCCAATAAACATACATGGAGTTGATTGACTAAGTTAGGTAGTATAGAATATTTTGGTTGGATGGGTTGGGAATGCTTATAGAGGGTACACTCCTAGATCCTTTAGGGCTTATTGTGATTTGGTTGAAACTAACTTCTTGGATTCCATGGTGCCTCCTAAGAATGAGTCATGTCCAATTTGGTTCCTCCTAAGCATCCTAGACTCTAGGAGGAGGTTCTTGTCGAGTGACCCGCTGGGGTTACCCTTGAGAAGATCCTTGGGGAAGGGCCACAGGTGCAGAGCCTGGGAGGCTATGGGCGCACTGACCCGCTATTAACAAGCCCTTTTAACTCAGTGGTTAGTGGCTGAGTTTTTGACAGTTCTAACCCGGCGGGTCACTCGACACCCCCCCTCGCTGGGATAGGTGGAAGACACAAGCGCCTTTGCAGCGCTAGCACTGGGAATTGAACCTGAGTCACCGACGCTCTGATACCGTGTCAGAAACTCAGCCACTAACCATTGAGTTAAAAGGGCTTGTTAATAGCGGGTCAGTGGGCCCATAGCCCCCCAGGCTCTGCACCTGTGGCCCTTCCCCGAGGATCTTCTCAAGGGTAACCCCAGTGGGTCACTCGACACTAAGGATACATTAGTCTCTTAGAACAATTTCACAAACTTGTCCTGAGTTGGAGAAGCGGAGGGGGGCGATGTCGTGGCAGGGCAGTTTCTGTTTCAGGATGTTTTCGGAGGCACCCTAACTGGGCAGGGAAAAACTCCGAGCACTCTTGCTACAGCAGGGTAAAAGGGTCACAATAAAAGCCCGTTCAAAATTGGATGATCCTAAAAAGCAGCTGCTGGCAAGGGAAATCAGGGTGAAAAATCTGGCCCTTGCATCTCAGAGGTGGTGCTTAGGAAAAAATTACTTCAACCGTACCCAGATTCAACAGGGTCTTAATTACTAAGTCTATGACTTCAATGCCTACAATGCCCTGCATCCTGATGCATTTTTATCAGTCTGCTAACTGTGGAACCAGCAGTCAAAATCGTTCCAAGGGATGCATGGCAGCATATAGCTTCCTCCACCAACAGCTTCAGATCAATGACTTGCTGTGGCTGCACCGTCGGGTTCAAGAACTCGAACCAATTCAGTTCATTGCCATCCTCGTCTGCACTTCCTTGCTCCAAGCGCTCCAATGCGTCCTGCCCATCCAAGGAAAAGGCATTCAGGAATCGGCTGTGGCGCCCACTGCACATCTTTCAAGCCCAACAGAGACTCATTGAGAGGAAACGATAAAGCGAGATGGGGGGAGGGTGGGTTGACGATACCGAAGTGCTGTTAGTATCAGGTGGAGTGATGCGGTTGGCTCTAAGGCCAAGGCCATAAGTGCGCAGCGATGTGGAGAAGGCACGGAGCCGTGCGGCATACACATCGAGAGTGTGAACCTCCACAGCCATGGTTGTGAGGCGTGCGAGGAGCAGGCTGTGCCACTTGCTCAGTGGCAGATCAGTCATCAGGAACAGGTGCAGCTTCGCGAAAGGAGGGAGTGAGTTCTTCTTCCGAGTTTCCTGTAAGGACTGCTCGGCCTTACTGCACATGGACAGGATAGCATGCAAAGGAGAATGCACAAGCAACCGATAGGTGATGCGCATATATGATCGCATGAAGGGAAAGGTCAGGTTAGACCCCAAGGCAACCTCACTTGTCACCCGTTCCATACCGGACTGTGTCGGAGAGCTTCGTCTCAAATTGGGTCTCGGAGCCGCGCAAGTGGAGGCAGGCATAAGGGCTGCGAATTTGCTGCGCTATGAAATGCATGGCGAGCTGCACCACTGGGGGGGAGAAGAAAGGCAGCGCCGCCTGCAGTGCAGCACACAGGGTGGCAGGAGGCACGTGGCACTTGGCAGGTGGCGGTAATTGGATGAGAGAGGCATAGAGGTATTCAGAAAGGGCACACAAAGTCGTTCATGGAAACAATGGTGCAAGTTGATGAAAAATAGACAAGCTGCCGCAATTGGCAGGCTCATGGCACGTCTGGTGCCTGGCAGCACTCAGTGTGAAGGACGAGGAACAAAGCGACCAGAGTGTCAGTGCAATGAAACGCTACTGAACTCAGCCTGGCCGTAACAGAACAAAAAATCAGCAGCAGCAACTCCGGTCGGAAGCAGCAGAGGAAAGCTGCGATTTTTGTCCTCACCTCTCTTATTGCGTTGAAGCGTGGGCCAAAGTCTACCCACATGTCAGTGATAGGGGCATGGAACATGGAACCAAAGGCCATCACCTGGTCATGGGTGGTGCCAGACAAGGAAGGGGTGCACGCGATGCACGGGCCTTGAACCGCCATGAGCACGTGCATACCGATCATGAATACAAGGCAGGCATGATACTGAAACCTACCTACTGTGAGTTACATGCAATTGAGGAATCACTGAATACATGTTGGGAACACACTATATGGGGCTAAAAGGAAACAAGAGTTAACTACATGAGCATGCGAATCTGTACCTTTGGATGTGTCTGCTGCAAAGATCGCACGCTGGTGGGCACAGGAAATTGTTCCAGGTCGCGACAGAACTGGTTGCAGACGGGAGCATAGTGTTCGAAGTGACCCCTTACAGCCTGGCGGAGTTCGCTCTTGCTGCTCCGCCATGCACGCATGCGACGGGTCCATGGGGGGGAGGGAGGGAGATCCATGCATATGTATGCCACACCATAGAAAAGACATAACTCGTGAATATGGGTGTGGACATATGGAGCATATATGTGCAGGCACAGTTATTTGCCTGTGTGGGTTTTGCGGCTTTGCAGGAAATGTATGGCGCATGGAGAAGGGTGGGGCAAGTTTGTAGAATACTTAGAAACCACAAGGCTCTATCAAATAGGAAAAGTAGAAGGAATGGAGAAGAATGAAACCACCAACCCAATTGGTCAGAACAATGGAATGGTGGAAAAGATACATACACATGAAGGTGGGTGGACAAGTCCCACCTTCATAGTGGTCAACTGTGGGACCAACCACCATCGAGGTGCTGGAAAAACGTACGCAAAATATTTACAGAAGTAGGCTAATCTCTAACAACGTGAGCGGCATCGCCTGGAATGTAAGTGAGGCGCAGTCACGAGGCTGCAAGTGAGGGGAGGTGACCAGAATGCAAGTGAGGGGCAATACCTGGAATAGTTTCCAATGGTCCACACGGTTTCATTGCAGAGGTTGGGCACTATATACACAAGCCCCTTCCTCTCCCATGTGCATGCGGACAGGCTTTCATCACTCCAGGACAGGCGGTGAGCACGGGCGGCGCTGGACACAACACCCCAAAGCAGCGACAGGGAGGACACTGGTGCACCCATCTTCGCTCCACACACTTGCAAGCACTGCACGAAGGACTGAGACAGGGGGGGGCGGTGGGGGTTGGGGAAGGGGCGAGCAGCATGGGAGCATGGCATCATGGCAGCAGCATGGCAGCAAGTGGCATGGATGAGGACGTGGCCTTGCAGCACGTGCAGGAAAGAAGTTTGGGTAGGCAGGCAATTGAGGCAGGCGGGCACAACTGGGTGCAAGATCCGCACGTGCACTCCCAGCACAGGGAACATTTGTGCATGCTGTTGCAAGCAGCCTGCACTGTGTGCCGCTGCATAAGCGCCACCTTGGTCACCCCCCTTGCCGTCCGCCCGCCCTGATCGTGCTCTACTATCCTCGCCCACTTGGAGCAGCTCTTGGGCTGCTCTTGGCACCACCACAAACAACACACGAAAGCCCAGCACCTAGCTTGCGTGCAAGTAATACGAAGATGGGCTGATACGTGTACCAGATAGAAGCGGGTGTGTATGTTAGCTCGTGCACAGTCAGCGAGAGTGCGAGAGAGGGTGGGAGGAAGAGGAGGGGAGGAAGAGAGCGGGAAGGAGAGAGGGAGCGGGGGACGAGGAATGGGTGGGGAAGGGAGAAGAGTCAGAGAATGCATGCGGAGCTAGCCATGGCAAGGTGATGGGGCGCACACCTGGTTTGAGAAGGTGAGACCTCTGAAGAGCCCGTGGCACGTGGCATCCTCCCCGCATGCGACGGACACGTTGCAGCGACAGTGGAGGGCGACGAAATGGCGCAGGTCGATGGTGCGCACCAGTGCTGGCGGTATGGCGGCTATGTCCAACACGTCGCCCATGGACACATAGTCCTGCAGGGGGGAGGGGGAGAGGTGGGGGTGTGGCAGGGGGGGGGGGGGGGTGGGGGGTTTGGTGGTGGTTTGGCACAAACGCAGGTAGCAGTATCATATGGCTCACACACGCCCATCAACACGTAGCCCTGGAAGTGGAGGGGGAGGAGCGGGGAGGGCAGAGTGGGGAGCGCAGGGTAGGGTGGACAGACACATGACTTCACCAACAGGTTGGCCATGGGGAGTCGACACATGCTACTGGGAGGCGCATGCAAGACGCATTATTCACATAAGGAGGATGCAGGTGCACAGACGCCTAGAGGAGATGGGCGGGTGAGGGCGCGTGCAGCAGATCAGGGCTGAGAGTGGCGGCATTGGGGCGGGCATGCACACCAGAGACGATGATACACGTGATCCACTGCCTGCCATATGCGCTGGTGGGGCGGCGTGGTGCAGAATGGGGGACCGAGGAGGCCATGAGGCCCAATCAGGGCCCAATGGGGGGCCATCTTTGGATGTGGTGGAGCGTGGGGGTTGAGCGTGACTCACAGGGCTGGCGAGGTGCTTGGAGTAGACGAGCCATGCGCGCTGGCGGAAGCCCGCCTCGTCGATGTTGACTTGCACCACGCTCGTGAAGTGCGGCAGCTTGGGCGGGAGGACGAGCGTGCGGTTGAGCACCCCTGCCATGTGCAGCGCATGGAACAGGCCCAGCACCTGCACGCAGGGGAGGCGCACGGTATGGCATGGCACGGGATAGGGTGGCATGCCATGTTATAGCCGGGCATGGCTTGTGATAGGGTGGCATGGCATGGATAGCAAGGATGGCATGGTATGTATGGCATGGCATGGGGGAGAGGGCGGCGTAGCATGGCATGGCATGAAATGGTGGGGGTGGTCTCTCATAAGTACTTTCTAGCTACATGTACCTACTTCGTTTAGCCGGTCCTGAATATGCTGGGCATGGCATGGCATGGCGGCAGACAGCATAGGATGCAAGACGAGCACGGGTAGGTTCTGAAGAAATTTGTGGTGGAATGTATGATGCCATGTAAGCTGGCGGGATGAAGGCATACTAATTGTATGATTGGGTGGAAGCAAGTCCACATGAGAGCAAGTCCACATGAGAGCCAGCACGGAGTGCACAGAGGGTCCGTGAGGAGTCCTCTGCCCGCGTATTCGTGATACGACGTCAGGTGGTTGTGTGGCTGTTGCGTTTCGGTTGCACACTCTTGCAACTACGGCAGGTCACGGCCAGGGGGCTCTTTTCACTGGGTTTTGGGGCGGGGGCCCGTCCACAATGACCGCTGTGGGTGGCATAGGGCATGTGCGGGGCAGGCTGCGGTGCGCATCACCTGGTTGCTCATTCCGCTGTGTGACGCGTACCACACAAACCGCTCGTCCTCGCCGAGGGCCCACTCCCCAACCTGCGCCGCGGCCTCACTCCCTTCAATCTCCCCCGCCGCGGCCCTCCACTGGGCGCCTTCCGCCCCTTTTTCCCCCGTTGCTCCACCCCGCTCCTCCTCGTCCGCCGAGTCGTCGCCCGCCACATCATTTGCCGCGCCACCAAACCGGCCACCTCCCTGGGCGGTACGTCCAGCGCTGTCGGGCCGCCACGACCGTGACGGCCGCGACACCACGGGCCATTGGTGGGGCCACGACGGTCGTGGGGCCGCGAACGCATCAATATTATTTTGGGTGGTCACGCTGAGCCATGTGAAGGCGGCGAGCGTGAGCGCGGTGAGGGAGACGAGGCCAAGCACGTAGTACGGGGAGGCGCGACTCGCTGCGGTGGCTGCTATGATAGACGGTGGCATTGCGCTGGAGGGCGTCACCGTCAAGTTATTTGGAATGAGACAAACTTCAATGTCATGAACTACCTCGGCTTTGCATGCATTACCCGCATATTCGTGCAAAGTTGTTGCACGGATTCCACCGTCCCAAAACCCCGGATTCCACGCACCCACCTGGTACAGTTCCTTCTACTATGTATCAATCCTCTACGAAAGCGCCATAAGCGCACCAAGCTTTAAAAAAGAAGGCGGGAAAACCGGCGAACAGTTGACGACCAGCTTGGCGAAAACATTGGGAAATTATAGGCCTGGTTACTGTTTTCGCCTGTTTAAAGCCGCGATACACATTCACTTCAATTTGTTTCAAGTGATAAACATGTGAAAAGTGGTAACTGAGTGATTCCTGCTGGAGGTAGCGAGATCTCGCAACCTGCAGATAAACATTTGAAGGGGGATTGTGGCAATTGTGTACTGATAATCCCAATCGCCACCTCTCGACTCATCCCCCTTTCCTCACGTTTTCCCAGCCTCCTCCCCCCACGATTTCGATCGTCCCTTCCCCCAACGATCTCGATTCCCCCTGGCCCCGCAATCTCGAAACTCCCCCCCTGTCCCCTCAAATTCGATTCCCCTGGCCCCCCAATTTCGAAGCCCCCCCTGCCCCCCCAAAATTTGATTCGCCCTGCCACCCCTCACTTGTCCAGCTCCCCCCGTCATTTCCGTTTCCCCCTTCCCCTCTCTGGTCCAATCCCCCCCCCAGTCAAGTTCGATCCCCCCCCCCCCCTTCGCATTTCATTCCGCTTGTCAGTTCGATTCCCCCCCCACCCACCCCTCACAATTTCCCCATCACGTTCAATTCTTCCCCCACCCCTCGCAATTCTAACTTTCCCCACTCAATTTCCCCTCCCCCCACCCCGCGAAATGCAATCCCCCCAACGCAATTCCATTTCCCCCAGTATCGAGTGTCGAAATTTCCCCTCGACGAAACTCAACCCAACTCGCGTCAATACTTTTATTTCGCCTCTCGTCCTCCAATCACTTTCGTCCCCCTTCATTGACCTCCACATTTCCTTCCCGACACGCGTTGAATGTTTACCGCGGCTTTAACACACCTATTCACCCTCGTCACACGTATGAGCACCTTTTTTCCGACTTAAAACCGCACCGCGTCACTCCAGGAAAAAGGGAGGTCACACCTTCTGGCAATTTTTAACACGAGAGGTCACTCCCATGCCTCTGGAAGCCAGGGTAATCACACTGCTTTGTCAGGGAAAAAAGAGTAAATTTTTAACCTAACCCTGCTTTTGACGCATTCAGAATATCGATATCCGTCCATGGACAGGCAAGCCGGAATTATCCCAGGGCCAATTTCCGAGTACGGGATAGACCAGCCACGTAAAATCTAATGTTAACAATCGCGCCCCTAGTAATTTTTTTTCCCCCTGTCATTGTCAGGAGTGGCTTATTCCGAGCTTCAAGAAACTCTTGCCTCCAAAACAGTCAAACTTTTTAGGGCTACCCAGCCTGGACGAGTTGGATCCGGGCAAACTCGGAAACTGCAGGGTGACCCCTAGGATATTGAGGGGCCTGGTCACTCCCCGAAACCCCCGCCCGAACATCACCTATTTCCCGCGCGAGCATTTTCTACTGCTACGATCCTCACTTCCGAATCTCACATATATTTGACCTTCCATACGAAATGTTGAAACATGAGGAAACGACTGAAATATACCCAAATCAAAGGTTCTTAGACCGCAAACTACCCTGAATCCAAACAGTCAGAAAACAGTGCTGAACCTTGCAAATCACGCCACCGTTGCCAGCATGTTGTCTAAAAAATGGCGCGCAAGTGATGTTTACGAGCTGTCGTTTCTCGCTTTCTTTGTTCATACAGTATTCCAGGCAAGAATTACAACGCACAGACAAAAAGATAGCTATCGCCCATATTCCAGTACACGAAGCAGTATTTCATGCAGAGACAAAACAAGTACTAATACCCTTAGGGCACCCGCTAATGACTCGGAAGACATCAACATTAAACTCGTAAACAATTCAGAGAGTTTAGGGTTTACCCATCCCGAACGACGTGCAGGTTCCCGAAGTGTTCTATTTTTTTAGTAAAATTCTAGTCATAGATTTCCTTCAAAGACCAACAATAATTTTCTAGCATCTACAGCGAGATTTTTTTTTTTTTCCTGACGTCAAACAGTTGTGTGGGGTAAAATTGAGTGGCTTTTTGAACAGCGCATCGACGTACGAATACTGTACAGAAAACGATATGGTGTACAGGCAGGTTCGGTAAATGTTTTAAATTTGGGTAGATTTTTGTCTAAAAACATTTGATTTGGGAAAGTTTTAGTCGTTTCATATTAAAATATGCGGGTTTATATATAAACGAGTGCCAAATATTGTTTTACAACGGCACTGCAAGTATGACACAATAAGTGTTAATTAGTGTGAAAGTATTAACTAGTTTGATAAATACTGGGATGTAACGAAAATTCCTTTTTTCTTAGCGAGCCTTGCTAACATCGAGTACAGCCCTGACTTTCGGAAGTCGAGGCTCGGTCCGACAACCTAGGTCCTGAATCGCGTTCGCAACCTCCCAGCCTACACGCGGCGTCGCGTCCGACACTTCCGAGCTTCGAGGTGCCCAAACCACCTCGTGTGCGTTTTGTGGCCCTCCTCGAGGCTCCATTGCTAGGCTAGATATGCTTGTATTTAGCCCCATGCTTCATTTGTACTCGACACACTCTCTCTATTGCATTACTCGACTCTGATCCATATATTACAGTATTATAAAAGCTGGTATCAGAACTATATTCTTGCCCATTTAGGCTTCCGTACTGAGGTAGAGGGACTTCGCACGTTAGGAGACATGAGCTGTCCAGCGGTCGTGCAGGTCTTCAATTCCACCGATTTTTTTCGTGTGCGCTCCACGCCTCTAACGTTGCAGGTGCCCATAGTATCTTTAGTGGCGTTAACTACAGTAGCTATGATAGTTTATGGTTAATAGCCCTCATCGCCGTAGCATTAGAAATATGACTCTTGCCCTAATCGCTGAGCTGTCAGAGGCGGAAGGGAGTGTGTCAGTGTTGACGACGAAGTTCGGCGAAATGATGGCGAAGATGGAGGCCATGTCCCTAGAGCTCGTCGCGTTGAAAGAGAAGAACGTAAGCCTTCGCCAGGTGCGTGATGAGATGTGTCAGGGGTCGCATGTTACAGCGGACGAAGATCGTGGGAGCGCACATCAACCGCAGGCGACGTCAGCAACACATGACAACAGCACAAGCGAGCGACGGGCAGTTGTAAAGATCAAACATGCAATGCCCCCGTCGTTCAATCCACTGGAGAAGCACACCACGCTGAGTGGGTGGCTATTCACCATGGAGCTGTTCTTCAATGCTGCTGATGTCAACGACGATATGATACGCGTCAAGTTGGTGGTGTCTTTATTATGCGGGCCTGCATTAAGTTGGTGGCGACAGTACGTGACATCGCGACGGACTGGCTACAGGCGATGGATGGGGAGCAACGATTGGCCTCAACTTCAACAAGACCCATATTCGGTGTGGCTGATAGCCTTACCTGGCAACAGTGGGGTGCACTGCTTCTCGAGCGGTTCGAGCATGTATCCGCATGCGAAAACGCTCGTGTGAAGCTGCTAGGATGGCATCAAATGGGCTCTGTTCTAGAGTACATGTAATCATTCTTGTCATCTGCGAAAAAAACGACGATCTACACGAGACGGAAAAAATGAGCCAATACATCCTAGGGCTGAGAACGGAGGTCCAGCGAGAAATTCGCATGCGCCGCCCGACGACGTTCTTGGAAGTGCAGCATGTCGCAGAAGTGTGGGATAAGAAAAGCGGATGGCCAACAGTGAATTTCCATGAGGGAAGTCGTTTTACAGGGCAGAATGTTTACCCATCCATCAACGGCGTGGCAGTACCGCTAGATAATAGATTTTCTGGCACCATCTTCGACCAAACACAAAATGCACGCGTTGGCTATTTCATAAAACTAGGTACCTAACAGTTGTTCGTAACCATTACTATAATCGTCCATTTAAACATAGTTATAGGCCCTAGAGTCAAATTCGATTAGGGTGCCCTGATTACGTTTGCCAGCAGCCACTCTTTCAGAAATACCCTGATTAGGAAGAGCAAATTGTTTGTGACCCTTTCTAAAAAAACTGTAATGAATAGTTTACCTTGCTGTAGTAAGGGTCCATTCCGGATTCGTGTCAAGCTTCTGGTCATGTCTTCCGAGCCTCAATTTTGAATCTTCTGAACATGACATCTGGTCTACGACCTCGATATGCTACAGTGATCAGTTGTGAACATGTCACCGACACATTTCCGCCAAAATGCGCATTCAATTCGTGTTTCGTGTTTGTGTCTCGCAAACAAAATAACGGCAAATTCGTTCGCGTGCTTCTATACGTGCATCGATTGACTTTCGTCAACCCCATGCCTCAGGTCTTCCGGCTTCGTGTCATCCCCCTACAAGTATAGCCCCTACAGATTTTTTTTAAAAAAAAAAGTTACTTGATAGGCTGAGGAATCCCTCGAAATTGTTTTCGTAAGCTGGACGGATTCGAGAAAAAAATGCTTCGTTAAAAGACGGAATCACTAAAAACGTTACTCTTAATTTCTCAACATTAAGAGTAATTACCCTGTTATCAAGGGCCTGCTTGGTACCTCTTCCCGTACCAGACTAGTCATGGGAAAAGGTGAAAGAACAGCACTTGCGAAGCATGCAGAAATACTGTAGCGCGCGAAATATCAAGCGCAAATTGACGCGTGCCAGTCCCACATCAGCAAACCTAGTCGCACATACCAAGAGCCGCCAGAAACGTAACCAAGGTCCCAGGCGGTACAGCAAAGCCTACGGAAAATACCAAAACGGCCAGTACTTTGCGTTCCTCAAACTAATGACGCCCGCAGACTGGGCGACGACGCCTTGTGATCGCAGAGGTTTTCAAGTGCCAACCAACGACCTGACCTAGGTGCAGTAGACCAGCTAATCCAGGTGCTCCACGTGTGATGACGAATTCCCCCTACCAACCCCCGACACATACGCCAAGGTTGCCACAATACAAAGTGGCAACGTTGGGAACGTCATCCACGCGGAAATGGTAAGCTCCAGGGAGGGCGCATTTACTACTGGCAAGTTCCAACTTCGCAGTGCACAAGCTGTCCGGGTGATAGATCCCC